TTTATGTGGATTGTATGTGGGGTGTGCTCTGGAAAACTCACTAAGCATTAGCTTACAGTTTGTGGATTTGTTTCAGGTACATATGAGCCCAAGGGCAAGTGCAATGCTTGATGGTGCGTCTTGCACTATCTCTCAGGCATTTTATGTGACACTCTGATGATTGGAATAATATTGTTATTGTTAAGAATTTGAAAACAATTGTATTGAGATTTTATGGTTTATGGAAAGTGTTTTGACTATCTGAAAATGGTTTTTTTTTTTTTTTTTTTTTTTTTTTGAAAATTTAGGTCATTACAAAAGTTATGGCAATTTATTCAAGCCTACCAAATTGTAAATAAAAACTAATAGAACAAAGATAAAAGAAGAACATACAAAACTCAATCGATGTTTTCACAAATCATTAGATATAGTTTTCAATTGAGGGACCAAAAGTTTGAGTTATATACGTTAAAAAAATATTTGATGATTTTCTATAATAAAAAGACATATAATTGATCTTTTTTATTCCATAAGTTACCTGGATTCAATGATATTATATTAAAATAGAATTTAAAAAAAAAAAAAAAATTTGCATTTGTTTTGTTTAAAAGTAACTCATTTAAAATGTTCATATGTCCACCTATTCACTTTTTATTCACCTTTTTACTTAGTTAGATTGTACATCAAAAATATATATCATATATCAGAGAAAATTTGGCCAACAGTTGCCAAAATTATGTTTTATAACACATATTTTATTGTAATGCGACACAAAAGCATGTGTCAAGGCATGATTGGCGGTCAAAATTTAGGAATGATTGAAAGATTTTAATAACATTGGATACAACTAAAGGAAAGAGAGTGCGTTTTTAACAATAATATCGATTTGTAGTTTCACTGAATCACTTATTGTACTTATTAAAAAACACTAAAACCAAAAAGATGATATTTGATTGAAAATAATTAACAAAGAATCACTTTTATAATTTCCATTTTGATTATATAAGCATATCTTAAACATTAAATAAAATTATCCATAAGATTCTTAGGCAATGAGACAAAGTATAAAAGTATGATCTTCTGTAATTGTCTGTAATATTCCCTTCTAATTCTATATTACTTAATTACTTAAATCTAAAAAATTGGTAAATTAATGGATGTCAAAGGATGAAAGGAGGTTGTTAGCACTTCCCATAACATATAAAAGATTGAAAATTCACGAACAAAATTCATGTTACTTTCAAGAACAACTGGCCGAACACTAAATAACGTTTATAAAAAAAATACATTTTAACAAATTTGAGGCATTTTAATTAAAACAATAGATTACTTAATTAATGAATTAAAAAAATTTCATTACTTAAAGCATTTTATAAGCCATAGAAAAATGACATTACATTTTGCAACTAGGACCATTGCTAACTGAGAAATACTCAAATGTTGGTCACCACTCACCACTACTTAAAGCATCGTTATTTTGGAATTCGGCATACCATTACATTTGGTATTTTGGTGTTCATGTTGTATTAACGATGGAAACTAATCATTTGGGTTAAAGTTTGGAGTTTAATGGATTACTTAATGATTACAAGTATTTGGACACTAAGTCTAACATTTGGGGTTATTTCCAAAATAATGGTTTTAGGGAAAAGGTTTAGATCGAAAACCTTGATCTTTTGAGGTTTTCTCTCATCATCACCATTCGTACGTTCATAAGGTGGTGTTTGATAATAAGATCCATAACTAAACTAAACATATTATATGTGTAGCTTTTGATGAACTTAAGATCGTATGACATAATAGAACAAAATAATAAAATTACCGGATTCCCTTCATATAAAACAATTATTAACATCAACATCACTTCAAAACTACAAATAGTACCCCTAAATCAAAATTTTGGTAACAAAATCATTGTTTACTTTTTTTTTTTAGATTTCAAAAATCTTCGAGAGAAATTATTTAGTACCATTTTAGCTGCAATCGGTTTTCAAAGAACAAAGTTATTGACGATTTTGCTGGTACTATATATCAACCATCACAAGCTTTGTTGGTGATTACATAATATGGGTTTCCTTTATTTTTTTTCTTAATTTTGGAATAATATATATATATTTTTTATAGATTTTTTCTTCTTATTATTGTGTGTGATTTACCTTAAATTGTGCTGGGCCTTCATGGGTTGTCTTACTATATAATATATAATATGAAAAGTAAACTAAACTATTAACAACTATATAATATACTATGGTTTTTGGAATAATTCTCGTTAGGATTTGTATTATATTAACAACTATAAATAATACAAAGATTTACATACATGCCTCTATACTATGTATAATATGAAAAGTAAACTAAAATAGACGATATGTTTTAACAACTTTAAATGCAATTTAAGATGTATTTGTTCTATTCTGTCTAGTCTCATTCCATATACCAAACACTATCTAAAAAACAAAGAGATATAAATATGAGGGACTTTAGTGCCATTGAGGACGATGATTAAGGTGTATGGTTACATGTTCAAATAGATTAGGGGTGTCTCATAATACATATCTCACACACTTTATATGAGATATATAAAGGATTATTTGTCATTTTACTTTCGATTCAACTTGTTTCACCCTTTTGGGTGGATTAAAATTCAAAAAATTAGTTCCATTTGACTTATGGTCCTATTGGTTTGTGGAATAAATAATTCTTGTTAGGGTTTTATATTGCATTTACAACTATAAATAATACAAAGATTTATATACCGGCTCTTTTACTATATATATATATATATATATATATATATATATATATATATATATATATATATATATATATATATATATATATATATATATATATATATATATATATATATATATATGAAATGTAAACTAAACTATACAGTATGCTTTGACAGTTCCAACTGCTATGGTTTGTGGAATAATTCTCGTTATGATTTGTATTTCATTAACAACTATAAATAATACAAAGATTTACATACATGCCCCTGTAATATGTCTAATATGAAAAGTAAACTATAATAGACAATATGTTTTAACAGTTTCAAACGTAATTTAAGATGTTTTTGTTCTATTCTGTCTAGTCTCATTCCACGTACCAAACACTACCTAAATGGCAAAGAGATATACATACAAGGGACTTTAGTACCATTAAGGACGATGATTAAGGTGTATGTATATTCATATCTTTTTTAAGGCCATGCGATAGTATGTAGGAGCTGTAAGGCAGTAAGGCTATGTATTAAAGTTGTAAAGGTGGTCAGAGACTTGACAAAAAGATTTGGGGGAGATTTTTATTTGAGAGTACATCCTCATACATGATTTTTTTTTTGTGAGTTTGTGCATGAAGGAGAACCTTATGCAATATGGTTACATGTTCAAATAGATTAGGGTGTGTAATTATACATTTCAAGGTCTTACACAATTTGTTTATGGCCGTGCATCAACCTTATACCCTTTTATAATTTATTTTTCAAGGTCGTATGAGCCCATTAATTGGAAAATTTATAAGTCGATTTACTTGTAGAGTTTCATGGGTGTCATACTTAATTTTTATGACTTATAGGAGATCAAAGGACATTTTAAAGAAGTTAAGAAGCTTCATTCACAAGCTACTGAGGTAAGTTCATGCTATTTTAGCAAATATACCTATTTGATGCCATGATGGCATGCTTTAATTCTATATGCTTTGTGGAGATGTATGTTATGTATCATTTGTTATTATATCTTTATTTTAATAAATGAATAAGTTTATTCTCTTATTGATAAGTATCACAATATTAGAAATCTTTAATAATATTATATGCTATTGTCACATATCAATTTATTAATTCTTTATTTCAAATTCTAAATTTTAAATTTCCTACTCCAATTACATTAAATTAAAAATAATTAATTTTTCATTTTAAATTTCACTCTATTTACATTAAATTAACAACATTAGAATAAAAAATAAAATAAAATAAATATGTATTATAAGGTGATATAATTTTATTTATTTATTTAAATCAACGATTATAATTTTATATAACTAAAAAAATATCTCTTAATTAATAATTTATTTAAAATAATTGATTAATAAATTTAAGTTTTTACTATGAAATTTTAATTAATTTTATAACTGTAGTTTTCATATCTTATAAATTAGTGTATTTATAACTTGTTACTCTATGTATTTATCTTTGTATTTTTAGAAGTAGTGAGATTTTAAATATGAAAAGATTTTTAAGGAGATGTATGTTATGTATCACTTGTTATTATATGTATTTATAACTAGTTACTATATGTACTTATCTTTGCATTTTTAGAAGTAACGAGATTTTAAATATGAAAAGATTTTTGAGGGACATTTTTGAAACAACAAAGCCCAATTTCGAGCAATCAACGACCCGATTCCAAGCCCTTCCTTCTCCTTTGGTCCTAAAGCAATCTTCCAAGCCACCTAATCGATCTTGTTTTTTTCTTCATTGCCTCCCCAAATAAATCTTCTTCGCAGCTTCTTAAATAAATTAACAACGGAAATGTGCGCCTTGAAAACCGAGAAAAAAAAATAAAGGGGCAATGAACTCCAACCCCAAATAGCAAATATCGAACTTTTTAGCAAACATGAGCATTGCAAATCTAAAAACCTATATGTTTTGGCTTGGCGGGAAAAGTAGCTTTTATTGTATTTTCCAAATCCAATTTTTCTCTTTGTAGCAGGGTAATACCTTAATCAATGGAAGACGATGCAAAATCCTTTTGAAGGCAAACTTCTAGCATCATGTGAGCAACAAATCCATGGAAAAAAAACAAGTTGCATCCAAGATATCACTACCAACGACCAAAATAGATGGGAGTCACCTCGATGAAGGAATAGAGTCATAGACACCGTCCAAGATTGATTATATTTATATTCAGAATTCGAAGATGACGGAGATTTAGTTGACTAATAAAAGTTGTATTTTATTTCTAGTTTCCTTTTATTGTATTTTTACCCCATCTTTTTATTTTGCATGCAAATTCAAATATAATAAAAACATATATTGGGCTGGAGTTAAATTTCCATTTGCAAAAAAATACAAAACCGGATAATCTGGTTTGGAAACACTCGATCATAATCGGGTTACACCCAATCCTATATGACCCATGTAGTCATGTGGACCTCTAGGAATGATAAGAGTAACCATTTCATAACTTCTATAAACTAGGAATTACATGTTTATTGTTAGTCTGTCGTCAAATTGGCTAATGGAGTTTAATCTAAAGTACACTGGACATGCTATAAATGATATCGTCATTGTTTTTAATCTTCAATCAAATCATCTTTCAAGTGTTTACACCCCTCCAACCATTCCAATAAATTGCAAAAATGGAGACTCCATTAAATCCTAAGAAAACTACATCCAAATGAAACATGAATACCGAAATATTGATATCACATTTAACATGCTGTATATATAGATCAGACTTACCAGTTACCAATGTGCATACGCTACTTTTGCACAATGTGTGATACAATCCAGTAGATCTGTTAACCACAAGAATTGGATTTTACTATATATAGTAAAAATTGAGGAGAAAATAAAAGACTTACAATGTTATTGTGAGGAGACTTCCAGTAGAATCCTTGGATCATAATGACAACCAAGTTTGATGTGACAAGAATAAAAATGCTTAAAGAATGTTTTCCCATCCATTCAAACACAAACACTGTACGCCTCCATCTGTATACATCCACCTGTAAATAATTTACACGTGTTAAAATAACTACACTAAACCAATGGGGGGTTTATTTTGATATTTTGATATTTTTATTTACCAGTAAATATAATGCACAAAATGTGAGTCCTGATGCTGCTGAAGTTACCAGAAGGTAACTCAATGTGTACAAGCCCTTGTTCAAAGGAATACCTGAGATTGACAAAAAGTAAAAAGGTTAATAATAATATTGTAAAATATTATTTAGAAACTGAAAACTAAAAGCATATACATATATATATATATATATATATATATATATATATATATATATATATATATATATATATATATATATGTACCTATGAGAGCAAGTATGGATCCAAGAATTAGAAATGAAGCTGAGAGGAGGGACCAGTTGCAAAGTCGATCTTTATGCCCCTGCAACAAATTCGGTCAACCAAGATTTGACCAAGGAAAATACTCTAAAATAAAAATGAAATTCACACCTGTAATTCGATCAAAATATGACCATATTGAAGACCAATTATGCAGGCCAAAGAAGCTGTTAAGGAACTGCATTCCAACTGTCATTCATTAGCTGTACAAGATTCAATCGCATTTTAAACAACTGATTTTGAATTCACAAGTTTAAATAATTAGATATATTACATTCTTGTATGCAATTTCATGAAGATGCTAAAACTGAAAGATAAATAACTTACCTTAAGATGCCTTCGGGTTCAAAAGGGGCATAGCACCATGAAGGTGAAGATTCTGAAACTTGACCACTCTTAGATATATTACATTCCTGTATACAAATTATATAATATATAAAAAATAACCAACTGCATATATGATATATGAATTTCATAATATATATATACCTTGAGGTTTCTGTAAGCAGGCTTTTGATATAAATGATCAATGCCAAGAATATATCTGTCTATCATTCCAGCAGCATTGCAAGCAGGCCCAAGATCACCTCTAACAGAGCATGTCACCTATAGTCAAGATAGATGTGATTTATTTGAAGAAAATAATAATTTTATCTAATAGGTTTAATAGAGTGGGGTCATACAGTACGGATTGTACTTCCATTTTCAGAAATTAAAGAGGATAATGAATGCAAGTCCTTGAATTGCCAATCTGCAACGTACAACCCATATGTCAATCCCATGTAGATGGCCAACAACAAAATTACACCACACCTACACCAATAACATACTTAGTTTCAAAGGGCTTATTGACCAAGTCAACATGTCTATTTGCTTACCATTAAGTTGGGAGGAAAAAAGAAGGGTAAATAGGTAAAGGGATGGTGTCTTAATACATTAAGACAAGTAATTTGGCTTAACCCATTAAGTTGTTTTGTCCATATTAAGTCAGAAAGAAGCATTCATGTATAACTGTTGGAGATTAAGTGCTAAACTCATAAACCCCATTAAGTAAAAAAAGAAACATCCTCTTAGACAGTTTATCAGAGGTCAGATTATTACAAGTTAAATAATCATCAAATCTAACAAAAGATTCAGAGTATCAGTTCTCACCAGTGCCAAATATAAACCCTGAAGAATGGCTCTTTCTTGTAGGTTTTACGGGGAATCCAAATTTCAAACAGTGCTGCAACAATGTATCCAATTGCTATCCTCTGAAATGATGACAATAATTGGAAAATATACATTAGTGAATTGATGACAAGAATTAGATGAAAAACGATAAGACATTGTAGTGTGTTAAGGTGTTGATTGGTCAAAGTCAATGACACCTGTAGGATGCCAAGCAGGCGTATTTTCTCAACATCAACTCCATATGTTAATGAAGTAATCCCATGTAGGTAACCACCTTGAAGAAAAACACCAAGAAGAAAAAGTTTCATTGCTCTTGCTATTGCTTTCCACGTTGCTTCGTATCTGTTTGGAATTTTCTGATGTTTAAGAAAGATAAAAGAGCGCTTCAGTTTCAAGTTTTCAGTTATTTGACTTATTTCCTTTGTAAAATCAAAGACACACATACATATATTGCTTAATCTAAACATGGTGTAATAAATAATTTACAGGTCAATGGCAATGATTAATCATGTGATGTGATTGTCTTTCAACCAACCCCTCAGTCTACCTAAAGTTTGGTGATGGTTGGAGTAACTTTGAGGTCAAGCATTATACAACTAAAGCTAGTTAATAATTACAGAGTTGAATATATTTATCATTAGAAATACAGTTCTACAGGATATGTTTATTCACCACCTTGTATACAATGGCAAGAGATACTCCAGCAGTGAAAAGGAACATAGGCATGACAAAATCTGCCAAGTGTAAGCCATTCCATGGGGCATGAGCAATAACTGGTAAACTAGAGCCAGCATAATCCACAAGCACCATAAGCTGAAAACAAGTAACAAACCATATTTTACTGGTAGCATATATTTAACTGGTAGCATATATGATTCAGGACACACACACACAAACACACACAAAAAGAAGAAGAGAAGGATGTAATAAATAAGATCTAATGTACTTTTTTAAGCGTTATTCTAACATCTAATTTCAAGGTTTACTACTCATCAACTAGTTAAAGTCTAAAACGGGTAAGGCAATCTGTATCTTGGATTTGTAATGGATATGTTTGTGAACTCTATCTAAAGCAATACCAGTTAATTAAAACTTTGAGCTGAATGACAGAATGAGGTCCACATATCCGAAATTTCAAATATAGTATTTATGTGAAAGACTATTATGGCTCGAGGTGTTTCATCTCAATTGAGTTATTCAGTGTTTCAATTTGTTTGTTTCTACAAGAGAACACATGTTCCCTATATAATTGCAAATGCATTGTCCTATAACGAACTCAAATTGAAGTGAATTAACTAAAGAAAGAAAGAAAAAATCAAGCCATTAATCTCGCTAATCGCTATCAAGCAAATTATAAAGTAAAATAACATCAGTCGAGTTGAACTTAACAGGCGATCATAGGTCTTCACTTAATGGTGAAGTAAAATTCGAAAATCGGGAGAGAATCGAATCAAACAAGATCGACATATGGAAAAACTTACGAAGATCGACAGTCCGCGAAAAACATCAAGTGAAGCGATTCTACAACCAATTTTCTTCTCTGCAGCGATCAGGTGTTGCTGGTGCTGCAATTCTTCGTCATCTTGTTGATGATCGCTCAGTAGCGGCTGAAAATCTGCCATTTTGCGTCTGCAATTTAGAGAAGATTTTGAAAAAAATGCCGGCATATGAGCTACTGAATGATTAAATGAAAGAAATCCAAAATTGAACATGAGATCTCTTTGGCATTATTTGACCAATTATTTGGTAAAGATATTGGTGATTCGATTCGAGTACGAATGAAATGGAGGGTTATTATGGAAGGATGTGTTCTTACGTGGACCAATCAGACGGAACGGTCCGGTTTTTATTTGCATCACGAATCATTTCGGTTCAAACATGAACCGATTTTGATGTATCCTTTTGAACCGTTGGTTTTTGTTTTGTTTCTTTATCCTTCATATTATATATTTTAATTTATTACTATCACTTTTTATATAACGGTGTCAAAATTGTTAATATCCTTGATCTATGAGAGTATTCATGTAAAACGTTTATATCATAAATTAAACCTTTTTTTTTTTCTGAATAATTCAAGTGTGATACGCCTTCATATATGAAGCCATCTTGGCACACATTTGAGCCAAGCCAGGTGCAAGCTCCACCCAAATATTAATAAAGGATATAGCCTTATGTGCTTTCCATCGTGCTTCCATGTCATTTTTTTTTCTTTAAAGTATGTGAGGTTAATTAGATAAAATTAAGGAAGAATAATTAGGGAAGAATCTCGCATTTGCGGGTGTTGGAGTTGCGGGGTTGATAAAATGAAATATGTCAAAAAGCATAAAATTTGTTAAAAATAGCTATTGTTTGTCAAAAAATTAAATGGAGCTCCTTTGCAGGAAAAATCGTAATCAGGATATCTTTTGTAAGAATTTTAAAAATCAGGTGGTGCCATTTTGTAAGAAAATTTTAAATTAGCATATGTTTGTTAAGAAATTCAAAATCAGCAGATGCTTTGTATCAAATATGCAGATCCATCAACTAATTTGTAAGAATTTACCAAAGCATCTATTCTTATCCATGCACATATAACAGGAAAAAAAATTACCAAATTTCTGTGAAGTGAATGTGTGAAACAAAAAAAAAAAGACTTTTAAAAAAAAAAGGCTTTATTAATTTTATCTAATTAATAAAGGATATAGCCTTATGTGCTTTCCATCGTGCTTCCATGTCATTTTTTTTTCTTTAAAGTATGTGAGGTTAATTAGATAAAATTAAGGAAGAATAATTAGGGAAGAATCCCGCATTTGCGGGTGTTGGAGTTGCGGGGTTGATAAAATGAAATATGTCAAAAAGCATAAAATTTGTTAAAAATAGCTGTTGTCTGTTAAAAAATTAAATGGGGCTCATTTACAGGAAAAATCGTAATCAGGATATCTTTTGTAAGAATTTTAAAAATCAGGTGGTGCCATTTTGTAAGAAAATTTTAAATTAGCATATGTTTGTTAAGAAATTCAAAATCAGCAGATGCTTTGTATCAAATATGCAGATCCATCAACTAATTTGTAAGAATTTACCAAAGCATCTATTCTTATCCATGCACATATAACAGGAAAAAAAAATTACCAAAATTCTGTGAAGTGAATGTGTGAAACCAAAAAAAAAAGACTTTTAAACATACAAAAAAGCAAGAAGCACCTACAAAGAAGTACCATCAACATGGTATCATATGCACAATGAAATTTATCAACAATGTAGTAAAACATATACTAATATGTCAAAAGCAATGTAAATCTGTCTAATTTCTATGGTAACTCTTATGCATATGCACAAATGGTAGAAGGAACCTCATCGGCTTTCTCTATTTTGATCAATTACTCTA